TCAATTCCGCGCTCGCCCCAGGGGACGGAAGCGGGCTCTGCGGGCCAGAGGGGCCTTGGTGCCCTTGTGCTTTCGCTCGGAGCCCGCGGTGGGCTGGGAGGTGAAGCTGCTCTGCCGCCCTGGGGTTCGGATCCTCACGCCCGCCACACGTCATTTGGTTCGCCCAGGGAGATGTCTTTACAACAAGGCCGCATTTTCCCAGGCCCTTTGGTATCGTTTTAAAGCTTCTTGCTTCTCCCGAGCCAAGTGACAAGCTCCTCGCAGGTGCTGTGTCACTCTGGGTAGGAGCAGCACCTGGCTGTCTGGGTGCAGACCCGGTCTGTGTCCTAGGGTGACTGGCCATCCTTCGGCTGCAGAGTTGTTCCTTTGGGGCCCAGAACCTCCACGGTGGTCCCACACCTTTTGCTTACAGTCGCTCCAGAAGCAGTCTAGGAGTCACTGGGTGCCCCCTGAGCAGTGTTAGCTGCGTTCCTGCCCCCGTTTCTCTCTTCCCAGAGGCCTTGTTTGATTTTATAGGGTTTCTCTACTTGTTCCCAACTGTTCATTTCCAAGCAGCCCCGGGGACACACCGAGTTAACATTGCTAATCGCAAGGTCTTTGGGTGTCATTTAAGCATCAGGCACTCTGAGAAAGCTAGATGAGAATCCTATAAGGTCACTGTATCAGAACCAACTGGTGGGTGGGCCCTGGACTGGTTAGGTGAGTTCCCAGTTTCCCAATCTTTCCTGCCCTTTTGCAGTCTTGTAGAAGAAACTGTGTTCTTTTGATCCGGGTTTTATGATCACTCCAAAATGGTCTGAACATACCGTCTGAAGACTGATAGGCGTCCTGCCTTTGCATGAATACTCAGCCCTGCTGATTTTTTCATGTACCCCTGAGTGACCACACTAGAACATAATTTATGTAATTTAAGAACAGTACTTAGAGCTGACTGGGTCAGGTCCAGAACTGGAAGCAACATTTAAGGAGGCCTGTGACACTCTCAGGTTACAGCCAAAGGCTTGTGTTTTTCCAATGTCTTAGGTTCCTGGATGTTCTACTTAGAGCCATCTCTAGTTTAAATTTGAGCCATCTGAATGCAATTGATCTTCAGTTTGGACAAAACTCTAGCTAATTGAAAACCCAAATGAAAATGGGCACACAAATATTCCCCTGGGTCGCTAACATTAAGCCTGAGTGATACGGAAAGTAAGGGACATAGCTGAGTTTTTTCTGCCAGGATCATTGTGCAGAGTCCTGGGACAGAAGTTTACTGAACTCCTGATGTAGCATGCTTTAACCTGAGAAGAGATGCTAGTTCTAGGGGGACTGAGGAAGTCTTTGGTTTGTTAGCTATGTTCTTACAGGAATTGTATTAAGAGCTCTTTTGGGAACCGGGTAAGTGCTAGGTTTATGAGCTGTAAAAGGAAGTAAATTCATGCACAGATTCCAGGACACAGGTGAAATTCTTGGACTGCTCCGAATCTTGAGCCAGAAGTGCTATCACCAGAGTCCTATAATTGTGAATAAAAGTACACAATCATGGACATACATTCAAGAATTTGCCATTACAAGACTTGCTATATATGTATATAATAAAACCAATCTAACTTCTCAGTGTCTTTAGGGTAAGAAACATACATCTAGGCAGGGGCACTTTCCTCATAATTCTTGTGTCATTGACTTTCAGGGGAAGTTTGTTTGCTATGACTGAAAAATAAACTGCTTATGTTCCCTTGATATGAGAATAGCATTGGAGTCCTCCTCTCCCAAATTTCATAACTTCAGTCTAGTCAGGACACAATCCTGAATTGAGAGGCCTTCTACCAAATACCTCACCATTACAGTTCAGCACGGTCAGGATCACCCCAAACAAGAAAAGTCTGAAAAACGGTCATAGCCCTTGAAAGCCCCAGGAGACATGGTGACTGAATGTTAAGGGGTGTCCTGGAAGAGGTCCTGGGACAGAATAAGATAAACTCATCAGGGGAACGCTAAGGAAACGTGAATGTAGAGTTGAGTTAATTAAAAATATATTGAATAAAACTAAATGTGTTTCTGTCCACCTTATGTATTCAAGAAAACAAAACACAGATAAACTTTTTAAAAAAAGAAACACTGATGCTGTTATTTATATCACATTCTAGGTCTTTAACTTAAAGCAAATGAAAATGTAGTGCTAAAATTCCCACCCACTGCCACTTGATTTAAGCCAGCTTAAATAACATATGGTGATGGAAGACAGACCTTTAGCCATCATTGGAATATTTTTGTGGTTTGGGTGAAAGTTTACAAAGCACATTAATTTCCCATTTACTTTGAACACATTTTGTTTCATAGCATTAATTGTAATGCCCTCAGTATAACAGTCTAATCTATTCCTCTTTCCTCCCTAGGGTCCCTGTTTCCATTCAACGCCCCCCCC